ACTTTTGGCTTTCGGTCGACTTTTGTCATTTCCCTCTTCTTTCTTTTTCTGGATCTCTCGTTCTTCTTCCTGTTTGTGTTCTTGTCCAGCAGTGGTCTGATTTTTTGCATGGCTCTGTTGTGGGTGTCTCAGAGGCTGCTGTGATTATGCTGAGACATAGAATACATCGTCTGCCGGTCGTCAATGATACAGGCCTGCTTCTTGGTGAGTAGCGCTTCAAAATCAAATCCTGCATTGTCTGTTTTTGCTTTCAATGTGCGACACATAGGAATGGAAGTTCAATCATTTCGTTTGTGTAGTTGGTTAGGTAAAGGCTGACAAAGCCGATGGTGCTTAGCTGGTCGTTTCGGATGATCAGCCACACTGGGACTGAGACACGGCCCAGACTCCTACGGGAGGCAGCAGTGGGGAATCTTGGACAATGGGCGAAAGCCTGATCCAACAATATCGCGCGAGTGAAGAAGGGGATTTATAAATATGTAAACATAGAAAGCCCTCGGTCTGTTTGTTAGTGCGTGCGTGTCTGTTGGTTGGTTGGTTTGCTTGTTTTCGAGTGTGTGTGTGTGTTTGGAGGCTGCTGTGCGAATGTTTGCGGAAATGTGAGTGTGCGTTCTGTCTTGCTCGTTTTTGTACACAACTGCATTGGGACAGTGTAGCCATCAGGAAGTTGGGACCTTGTCGGTGAATGCAGGATGCACATTTGACTGTGTGTGTGTATGTTAGATTCAGTTGGGATGGAGTGCCTGGTTGACAGATGAAGCAGTCTTCATGTGGTCATTTTCATCTAAAGTCGAACATTCAATAAATGCAGTTCTGTCTCGGTGGAATTTGCCAGATAGCTGTCATACAATTGAGGGTCAGGGTACCAATGGGCCTAGCGCAGTTGGTACAGCCATGAACTGTTGAAATATGAATTAGACCCAAGTTCGAATCCAGATACAATCAGATGAGCCAAGTAATATAATTCGGAATTATGGGGATGGTCAGGTCAATGATGATATCTCGAGGCTGGGGCTCTTCTTTTTTTTTTTCTTTTTTTTTTTTTCTTTTAAATTCAGGTTTAGGGAAATAGATCGTATAGGATAGTGTGCTCTGGTGGTTTAGCTGTAAATGGCCTTAAAAAAAAAAAAAAACATTGTGCATATATGAAAGAGTGACAGCCTTGTGGTCATCTTCGGAAGTTTGGACTGTCTGGGCTCAGGGCCCAGGTAATCAATTCAGAGTTGTTTTTAACTTTTTACTCATCTGATTCGATTGGATCTTGAACCCAGGTGTCCTTCCGGACATCCATTAGAATTGGTTATATAGAGAAGATTGGCATGGCCCCTGCACAAGGATGAAACACATGAATCGAGAACAGGTCCAAATTAATGTAAAAAAAAACGGAAAAAAAAAGGAATTCCAACCCAGGTCTGCATATCAGTTGTAACTGTTAATATATGTTAAATTGTTAATGCCTGTTTTTCTTTTGTCTGTGTGTGTTTGTGTTTGTGTGTCGGTGTGGTCTTCATCACGGTGCCTTTGCCGCTTCTGCAGGTATCATCACGAGGACGGATATGTTCACGGCATTGGAACATCATAGCTCTTAACTGATGTTCACATCCTCCATGCAAATCATATCAGTCTATACATAACTGTATCTCGTTGTTAGGGGTAGGTTAAATCTTTGATGGGCTAGATTGCTGGCTTTCCCTCTGCCCATCTGACGGCAATGGCGACTTCCAGACCAGCCATGTCCTTGCCAGCATCCCTCAAGTGGATGTTTATTCCTTTTTGTTGGTGCTGGCTTCCTGACTGTATATCTTGCTGAAATTGAGCTACTGCAGTAATGAAAAGTTGCCCTGAAATTGAGCTACTGCAGTAATGAAAAGTTACCGTACCTGCAGATAGTTACCCTGAAATTGGGCTACTGCAGTAATGAAAAGTTACCGTACTTCCAGATATAATAGACCTGTTACCGAGCCTGATGAGGGGCCTGGTATGGTGCCATTGTCTGGCAGTCCCGACGGGGGGGGGGGAGAATTCTGGGCCTGTTGTGGTCATCACTGTGGGGATAAGTATACCGCTCACAGTCGTGGTGGTTTAAATCGCAAGTCCTTAGTATTACAGAACATGCTTGGTTGCCTACGCCGCCGGAAATTTTGCGTCTCGGGTTTGCCGGATCACAATGGCTGGGGGTGCAAGCCAAAGAAGAAGACGGAGCGGGCGTTGCTGGCGGTTTCGGCAAAATGCATGGAGCACAGTGGAGCGCCTCCAGGCCCGGGTGTACTGATGGTAGTCAAGGGAGTCCGAAGTCACCATGGTCTCGGTGATTTGGAACCGGTTGTGCATGAGTGTTGGGTATAGGTTTAATCGATCGCTCAGTGGGTCGAATGGGGTGGCAAATGTATGCGAGTGTTGCTGTGAAGAATGTATGTTAGGGTTATGGTGAAGTCGTCAGCACTGCTATAAAGTCTGGTTAACAGAATGGTCAAAAGGTGTGAAGGCATTGCCGAGGGTATGGTTGTGTGAAAAGGGGGACGGGGAAAGTGGAGGGGGATGGTGGGGGACGGGGAAAGTGGAGGGGGATGGTGGGGGACTTAGGATGTGAGTGA